GGTCCAACTTCTTTGGGACTCTCAGCTTCTTCCTGGAAGTCTACTTCCTTTGCCACATTGGGGAAGTTCTCCTTCATTATTTTTCTCAAGTAAGTTTTCAATTCTTGTTCTTCCTCTTCTCCTTCTGGCACTTCTATGATTCAGATGTTGGAATGTTTAAAGTTGTCCCAGAGGTTCCCAGAGTTGTCTCTCATTTTTTTTTTTTATTTCTTGTTCCTTCATTCTGTTCTGGTTGAATGTTTATTTCTTCCTTCTGTTCCAAATCGTTGATTTGAGTTCTGGTTTCCTTCCCATCACTGTTAGTTCCCTGTATATTTTTGTTTCACTTTGTATAACCTTCACTTTTTTCTCTAATTTGCAGCCATACCCAACCATTTCTGTGAGCATCCTGATTACTAGTGTTTTGAACTCTGCATTTGATAGGTTGGCTGTCTCTTCATTGCTTAGTTCTACTTTTGGAACTTTGATCTGTTTTTTTTATTTGAGCCATATATATATATTTTTGTCTTGGTAGGCCTGTTACATTCTAAGGGGCAGGGCTTTAGGTGTTCTCCAGGGCGGGGCAACCCACTTTGCTGCGTTGTGGCACTGTATGTGGGGGAGAGGTGTGAGGGGGAACAATGCTGCTTGCTCGGCTTTTGGCTGGTTTTTAGTCACTTCCTCTGCTACCCACAAGCAAACTGGGCCTGTGCTGGGAATCAGCACCAGGTGGTGCTGGGTTTGTGTATGTCCCCAGGTGGGTGGGTTTGTGTACGTTTTAGGACCCTGTGAGTCTTTCCAACAAACTCTCCTGTGAGACCAGGAGTTTCTCCTGCTATTGCAGCCCCCACAGGTTTTTACAGCCAGAGGTTTTAGGGTTTTACTTCCCTGCGCTGGAACCCTGGGTTGCGCAGTCTGTCTCGCTTCCCAGTTGCTCACCCCACTTCATCTGCACGAGAATGTGGGAACATCAGGTTGCCAGCTGCTGCCTTGCCACACCTCCTCTGTGCCCCGGTTGCCTGTCTCCACCGCTTCTACTGGTCTGAATGAAGGTTTCTTCTTTAACTCCTTGCTTGTCAGACTTCATACAGTTCGATTTTCTGGCAGTTCTGGTGATTTTTTTGCTTTTAAATTTGTTATTGTTCTTCTTTTGGTTATGTGAGGAGTCAAAATATATCTACCTATGCCTCCATCTTGGCTGGAAGTGGATCTCATTTTTTTAATCCATTCAGCTACTGTATGTCTTTTCACTTGGAGAATTTAATCAATTTAGATTTAAAGTAATTATTGATAAGGACTTACTATTGCCATTTTGTTCATTGTTTTCTGAATGTTTAGTTCTTTTGTCTGTTTTTATCATCCTTTGTGATTTTTTTGTCTTTGCTGTAGTATGTTTTGATTTATCTTTTGTGTATCTACTATAGGTTTTGTGATTCAATATGGGTTTTTGTCAGATTCTTTTCCTGCATCCTTTGGGATGATTATACAGCTTTTGTTTCTTATTCTTTCGGTGTAGTGTATTACATTAATTGACTTGCAGGTGTGAGATTAACTCTGCATTCCTGGTATAAACACTTGTCATGGTGTATACTACTTTCTGTATGTTGCTGGACTGGGCTTGATAGAATTGTGCTTAGGATTTTTGTATGCCTAGTCATTAGAAATATGGGTCTTTTTTTCCCTTGTGATGTCTTTGTGTGGTGTTGGTATCAGAATAATACTGGCCTAGTTGAATGAGTTGAGAAGTATTCTCTCTCAGTCTTTTTTTTATCAAAGAGTTTATAAAAATTGGTATTCTTGCTTATATGTGCAGTGGAATTCACCAGTAAAGCCATCTGAGACTGGGTTCTTCTTTGTCATAGTTTTTAAAATTACTGATTCTGTTTCTTTACTTGGTGTAAGTCTAGTCCAATTTTCTATTTTTTCTTGATTTCAATTTTTGGTAGTTTGTGTCTTTCTAGGAATCTGCCTGATTTGTTTTAGTTAACGAATTTATTACGTAGTTGTTAATGGATTTCTCTTGTCAATCTTTTTACTTTTAAATTAATCTGTTTTACATGAAATGTTCCTAACTCACTGAAAAGAATGGGGGGCGGGGATAAGGAAATCAACTGCTGTTAAATAAATGTTTGTTAATATTTTTCTAGATGGCTATAGAATTATGAAATAAGACAATGAAGAAATTAAAGAAAAATATTCATTGTTAATTGAAGCCTACTCTCCCTTTCTTTCCAGAAGTATTGTGAATCTCATTATTGACATGAGTCCTTACCACCCATTTTTTATATTTATATCTTTATGTATATAAAAATACACAGCATTTATGTTTTAAAATGTTACTTGTATTAGGCAGGCTTCCTGCTATACATTTCTTACCCTTAGCATTTTATTTCCAGATTCTTTTACATTGTCATAATTGGTGATAGTTCATTTATGTTACTTGCTCTTTGAATGTTCTTCAAATGAAAGACAGATGGGTTGTTTTCAGTGTTTTCTTTGTAAATGCTTTAGTTTTAATTCTTGCAAGTGATTGCCTGTGTGCATGTGTGTTTTTCTTAAGGATGTGTACCAAAAAAGTTGAGTTGCTGAGTCACAGAACTTGTATCTTCAACTTTTCTAGATATTGTAAAACTGTTCTATGACTCTTGGCCTTTTGCGTGTGCTCAGGTGGCTACGGAAGTCCCAGCCTGGATAGGTAGTGTTTCATGAGCCATTGTGTGTGGCCTGGGCAGTGCGGGTCATTTAAGGTGCTCAGTCTCGTGCCCCAGCTATAGTTGTGGATGCCCTTAACCCTATGTATGAGTAGTTCCTTTTTAAAATGTGTGAGACTGAGGAGACTGGGGAGACAGCCAGCTGGGGTGAACTTCACGATTGTCATGAATTAAGTCAGCCAGTCAGCTGAATTCGTAGTGTATTTGAATGAAGATGGAGAGTTGGATGTACTGAGTCTACAGGAATGGTCTGGGTTCTGGGGTGTCAGAGCTCAATCTCAGATTCACACTCTTATTCCTTCGTAATTTCAAGCAAGTAATTTTCCTTGTGTCCTTAGTTGCTACATCTGTAAAATGGGATAGTAAGACTTCCTAGTTCATGGACTTACAGCTCAATGATGTTATACATATAAAGTGCTTGGTGCAGAGCCTGGCATCTAGGAGCACTTAGTACATTTGCTGCTGTTTTATCCTTCTGCCTCCAATCTCATTTCCGTTCCCTGGCACTGTGTACCAGCAGCGTGCGGAGGTTAAGAAGCATTTGGCTGTAGCACCTGTTTTTGGTCTTCTATTGTAGCTTCTATATCTCTAGTGAATGTGATATCCTGAATAACTTTCCACATTGCTTACCAGACAACTTAAAAAAATATGAGTATTTGCTTATTTTTAATTTTTTAAAAAAGATTTTATTTATTTATTTTGAGGGAGAAGGGAAGGGAGGGAGAAAGAGGGAGAGAAACATCAATGTGTGGTTGCCTCTCGTGTACCCCCCAATGGGGGCCTGGCCTGCAGCCCAAGTATGTGCCCTGACTGGGAATTGAACCAGCAATCCTTTGGTTTGCAGGCCGGCAACCAATCCACTGAGCCACACAAGCCAGGGGGAAGGGTACTTGTTTAAATAGCTTTGTGAACTTTTTTCTAGTGCTTAAAGAAGTCTTATAACAAAACCACTGTAATCTCACTCTTTGTCTAGAGAAATTCACATGCCAACAGCTTTGTTTGGTGTTCTGCTTAGTGTTACCCAGACTTCATCCAGCTGTGGATGAGAAAATGCAGCAAAGCTCTCTGATGGGAAACACTTTAAATTCTTAGCTATCAACCTGGATAAAAACGCCTCCCCCCTCACCATCAATCAAAAACTTCAGCTTCGGACAGGACAGCGCCAGCATTTGGGTGCTTTTGAGTCTCCTGTCTGTAGCACAGCAGCAGTGAGCACACTGAAGTTACCTACCACCCACACCTGGAGAATCGCTCACACAATCATTCCCAAGATAGGAATTCAAAAAGGTGAATGTCCTTGTTTTTCATCTAATTATACAATGTGTAGGGTTAGTTTTAATAACTTCTCAAGAAATTAGCAAAAGAGAGCCAGGAAGTCAGGATGAGGCTTTCTTTCTGAAAGTTAATATCCATCAGAAATGGAAGCTCAGCTATGTGTATAAGGAAGAATGGAGGAATGGTCAGTAGGTGACTTGGGAAATCCTCAGGATTATGTAACACATGAAATTGTTGGTGATATTTCATTTACATCTGTCCTGAAGTTGGTCTTGTGTGTTACTGTAATGTGGCCCAGCTGTCACTCACTTTGGGACCACCAGGTATGGGCCTGCATTTACAAATGCTTTGGTATTCACCCCAGTTGTACGGCAAATTTCTGGAGAGTTATGAAGATGCTAAACGATGTCTGTACCCAATATCTGAAAAGCTTTCCAAGCCCTGTATTACTCAGTGTGAACGATGATCTGCACAAGATCCTACACCTTCCGAGGCCTGGGATCCTCAGATGCCCAATCGTTGCCCACCTTCCCAGACTGGGCCTCAGCACTTCCTGCGTGGACTCTGCTGCAGCCACACTGCAGCATCTGGCCCACAGCCTGACAGACTAGTTAACTTTGACCTCACCCAAGCTGCTTTCTCTGACAGGAATGTCCCCTCCATGTCCCAACATCGTCTCACTGTGCACGTATGTATGTATCAATCCCCGGGGGGAGCTACAGATTTATTATGTCTTTCGTTTAGTGTTTCCTTATATGGAAGAATGAGCATGATTTTGGTGTAAGTCTTGTCATGTTCAAGTTCAGCTAGTACCTTTTCTACTCTTCATCTCTGGTCCTGGGCCGAGGGGAGGGGGGTTCCCTGATGTGTGATCTACAAAACCCTTCTTGACGAGCCCACTTGTTTTGTGTGGTGACTTGTCTGCTGTGCCCTGTGTTCTAAAGGTGGTGTCCCCTCCCAAATCCCCCCACAGGTCTACGATGGCTCTCCTCACCTGCAAGGTGGTCTTTTCTTTGCACAGCAACAATCATTAAGTACATCAAAATGCCTTTTATTTGAGACACAAAAATGCAAAATTGCTGAGATATCAAACATTTTCCGGTCCGCTACAATACTGCCACTATGTACAAAAGATCTGATGATAAATGTGCACACATATAAAAATACAGTATGCATTACCTATGTACAGTACATGTGCAAAACGTATGGCATTCAAACATGATATGGAATTGATTTCAGGGGTGCAAACAGCAAATACAAAGGCATCACGGTTTTCCTTTTAAAAAACAACATAAAGGCAATACATGAATGGACCCCCGATTGCCATAATTTTTTTGTTTCTTAAACGAGTGCTTGAATAAGCAGGGCTCTGTAGATTGGTATCTTTCTCCTTTTTTTCATAAAGTGAGATGCTAAGACATAACGTGACAATGAAAATAAGAAGAGAAACACCTATCATGTTGCACTTCTATTGCAAGCAAGAAAACTAATTTGTATGTAGAAAGGAAAAAACTTTGTACTACTACTAAATGCGTACTATTCCTAAACCAACAAATCTATACTATTTTACATGAAAACAATACAGAAATATCTACACCTTTGTGAAAATTATAACTTTAAATGGATAATACCTTTTTGGGACTGATTTTTGAGATCTCATTAGTCTCAAATTTTAAATAAAAAGTGCCTCTTTTTGGCAAATACTTGGCAATGCCTTTGGTTCCTTTAAAGCAAGTTTGCATTACTACTGGTTACTTGAGGTTAAGTACTTTTGGTAGATACTAAACCCTTTCCTAAATGCTTCTTCCTCCTACCAAATCAGCAAGTGTTCTTACAGCACAATGTAGAGAGGTAATCGCTATGAGCCTCAGTGATCCTACGAACTTGGTGAAAGCTTTGTCTGAGCAGTTGGCACAAAGCTCTGTTACACATGACAGCGGTGTCACTGTCACCAATGACATGTTTGATCTGATTCCAGACAGCACCTTGTAGATCTGAGATTGCCATCCTGTTGTCACAAGATTGTGGTATTTTTTCAATAACGATTCACAGAGCAATGTGTTTGTGTGGAAGGTCAGAGTGCTTTTGTAAACATGTGCAGCTTTTTGCATTATAGGCCTTAGATGAGATTTCCGGTAGAAACCCTTTGCAACGATGCGTTTCCCTCAAACACTGAAAAAAGGGGTGAGCAGGGGAAGACACACACTGCCATGCAGACAGTCACTTCACATCAGAACGCAGCCTGGAAAGGTCACTGAGCAAGGTATTGAAAGTCTGACAAGGAATTACTGTATCTGAATTATTTTCCAGTTTTGACGGAAGCCACTTAAAAGATGAACTGAAATGCAGTGAGGATGCTCTCCAAACACATGCCTGCACTTGTAAGCTGTGTCCCTTGATAAACCTGATCTTCCAGTTGATGGTTTTTGATATTTTGGGCTCATTTTGTGGTGCCAGGGCCATGGACAGTCTGTTATTCCGCTCCGTTGCCCATAGCCAGGACTCACGTTTGCAGCGATGGACGGCAAAACGGAGGGTTATTTGTGAGTGGGGGTAAAGGGGACTGTGCTGCTCTGCTGGTAGACGCCTGCACCAGGTGGCCCACGGGGACAGCGTGTGGTGTGCACGGGACAGCTGCTTAATCAGCTGTGTGGCTAGATTCAGCCTGGTAGTTCTTCAAGGACTCTGAAGAAAGCTATGTGGCCTGGAATGATCTGGGGTCGAGGGTAAGGGAAGCCTGAGTCAGCTTTGGTGACAAAATGAGTAGTGCTCCTGATATGGCTCTCAGTGTCTGCTGACTGCACAGCTCAGGGGCCCTATCCTGTGACCGCCACCCTGCCCACAGCAGGCGGCAGTTCGGAGGCGGCACCAAACCGCCTCTGCCCCGCTCTTAAACTACCCTGGCAGGAGTGTCAGTTACTCAGGTCACAGAACTGTGCAGTTTTTAAAAAGGAAATTTAAATAAGATCTCTTTAGTATTATAAAAATATTCATATAAAACAAACACAAATAGTGTCTAAACAAGAAATTCCATGAATTCAGAATACACCTATGTACAAATATGTGGCGAATACTATACAGTAGATTGCACATTTCAGGAAAAACACTAGAACATGAACCACTAACACTGTCCCCAAGGTTGTCTAGTACATGCTTTGCTGAAATGTACAAGATGACCACATACCCTTAGACTTCCAAAGACTATGTAGAAGCTTTGGTGTAACTGTGTGCCTCCCACCCCCAACAACATGACCTGATACCTATGTGCACTAGAAAGGTAAGCTCGATACTACTGTGTTTCAGGAATATTTAGGGAAATGAGACTGCATGTGAGATAATATGTTTTCTAGGAATTGTTTTCTTGGCAGTAGGATCTTCTGCAAGATGATACATAGCACTGCCGCCTCTAAACTACACACATGTGCACTGAAAACCCAGCCGGCTGTTCTGACCTGGGCTTTCACAGCTGTGAAACTCACCTCAAACAGTAAAAACCGTCCTCTCTAGTAAACACACACCTTTCCCATTGCATTTACCTTTAAGTACACTGAGTTAGGTCAGAGGAGCCTTGGTTACAGAGTGTCATCTTTGGTCACATCACACGTTGCCCATGGTCTGTGTCCTCACTCTAACCTGGAATACCTGGAACGTGTAGCTGGGACCCTGGAGAGCAGCACAGATGCCCAGCTTGCTGCTCAGGCCAGGCCAGGAGGGCCCAGCGGAATGGTGGGAATCGGCAGCTGGAAGACTTCCTAACTCGAGACTCCTTGCCTTCCTTCCTTGTAAAGGAGATGCTGGTACAGAAAGGTTTGAACACATATGTAAGGTGGACACATTAGCAACATAATGAAAAGTGAGCAGGCTGATGCGATGGCATTCTTTGCGCTGCAGTGTGTGTTTCTGGAGAGCAGCCTTCCAGTGGCATGTTTCGAACCCTATTTAAAGACACGATAAGGGGACCCGAGGGCTAGGAAATGATCTATGTACACAATTTGAAAAGATGGAAATAGAAAGTTAATTCACGACAGTCAATAGCATTAGCTGTTCAGTTGCCTCCTATAGTCCCACTGATACTTGGTTCTAATTTAATAAGCCACTTAAATCTGAAAAAGGTGATGCCTAGAGTCCAAGTATGGACCAGATTAGTTGCAGACAAAAATCCAGTGCTGAGACCTGCCCTAAGAAATTACCTTCCTAAGTCACTAGCCCTGCCCTGGGCTACAGGCCCTTCGGAGAGGAAGTGAATGACTGAGGATGCACACGCTGGGCTTGGTCACATGGCAGCGTCTGGACGCCACGCGCTGGGTCACCCATTTCTGAACGATTCATCTACTCACCACAGACCACACTGAGCACCACCGGCTCTGCCCGGAACCCTTCAGAAGCGCTTTCAAGGTGGAAGTGTCAGTTAACAGAGGGCTCCAGTGTTCTGGGCGACTGAATTCTGGAAAAACGGACTTTTCTTACACGTAGTGAAATTTACAAACTGAAATAAAAATTTGAAATAAGATCAGCTCTTAGGCAAAACACAAACCCAGAAATGATTCACAAATTCTTTTCAAATAGCAGGTCAGGCTGCCTCTGCGTGCCACCGTGGTGACAGTCCCTGCTCAGTGACCCGGAGAAAGGTCACCCGGCTCTCGGGCTTACACAGGGGAGTGGAGAGCTTGACAGTATTTAATAAAAACCTACTTTTTGGTAGACTTGTGTGTGTTTTTTCTAAGTTATGTACATGTCACGTATTTCAACAACTATTCTAAAATCATTTTGGAAATCCTGTGACAATTGGCATTTCAGAAAATTCTTAAGAAACTACTCAACAAATGTGAACTTTCTCTCTCTATAAAAAACTAATAAAACCTCCAGTTTTTCAGTCTTCGGCTTGACAATGTAGTGAGAGCTCAGGTACAACTCCCAGTGCCAAGCCTGTGAAGTGAGGACCAGGATAAGTGGGAGGAGAGGCGGCCGGAGCAGCAGTTCAGAGGCTGACCTGGCGACAGGCTAGCCTGGAGCTGTTGTGGGAGTTTCCTGGGAACGACAGACCTTGCCTTCGCTTTGCAGCTCACCAGCTCAGAAAGATATTTTACACTTAAAGCTTTTTCTTGGTTCTTTGAGATGGGTCTGGTTACCTGAAAGTTAGTTCTTAAAATACAGAAATACATTGGCTCAAGTACTCTAGAAATATTTGAGTTATTAAAACAAGTAGGGCCACCGGATACCCAATTTCTCAGCCCAAAGTAGGCTGTACAAGTCCCAATGTAGCGTGTACACAGACATGTCTAATTTATACAGTAAATCAATCTACTCAGTGCAGAGGGTTGCTAACAGGATTTTCAGTGTTATCAGTAGACTTGGACTTTTTACAGGGGATCATTTATGACAGTATTTTGTATACATTGTCAGGTTATGGTGAAAACACTTCCATTTAAATTTAAATTTGGAAATCTAAAGTAAGATTCTAAAAATCACAAAATAAACTACAACGCAAAAAAAAAATTACATTGGTTCTGAATGGAACTAAGTCTTCAGCTGGTGCTGTCCGCTGCCTTTGATCCCTGCGGCATCCTGGGCGGGGCGCGGGCTGTTTCTAGAAACACACGTGCAGTGACCTCTCACCTCCCTCACACCGGCATTCTTTTCTGAGTGGAGCTGCATGCTTTTTTATTAAGGGCCTGAAAGTGACCACAGAGGTTTAAATGTAGTTGGTTACCAGAGAAGCCTCATGTCGTTATCCTGCACATTACTCTCTGTTTTTATCTAAAGAACTCTTCCTTCTTTAGTGGCATTTGAAGAAACAGATGAGTCTTCTTTGACTAGAGATTTTTCAGAAGGCCCTGTGCTGTATTAAACTGCAGACATTCACTGCTGGATGCAATGAAATGTTCTTAAACTTGGTTTCCAGGCTGTGACCATCTATCCATTTGCAATGATGCAACTATGGACCTGTCTCTAAAAACTGACCTTTGACTCATCTTCATCTTCTTAAAACTCATGAACTCTGAGACAAGAAGCCTGTGATGTTAGTCCCATGGCAACGGCAGGTCTTGTGGATCCAAAAAGTCAGCAGAGAACATGCTGGGGGCAGTGGCGCTGAGGGGAGTGAGTCCCGACGACGCGTTAGGCATAGTGATGTCTAACCACTCCATGTTGTCCAAGTTGGAGTCAGAGAGGTCAAGTGACAGACAGGGAGTGCTTGCGGCAAACTGGGCCTCGGCAGTCTCCATGGGTGAGTGTGAATGGTCCAGCACGCCCGCGTGACTCAGCAGGTCATTCTGGAGATCCTCGATCAGAGAGAAGGGCTCTCTGTCTTCACCACTGCTTTGTAGTGGAGCAATGTCATTGGCTGAAGGTAAAGTCCCATCCAAGAAAGCTTCTAGTTGGTTCTCTAAGCTGGCAGATAAACTGCTCATAGGTTCTAAGGATACCGGTGGTGCCATTTGGACCTGGGGTGGTGGCCGGGACACCACTGTGTTGACTGGCATTGTAGTGATGCTGGCTGTCACTGGTCTCATTTTGGAAATGGGAGAAGGCTCTTCTTTTATAGGGAGGGAAATCTCTGTGCAAAATAACAAGTAATCAGTGAGTTAAGATTTACTACTATTTAAAATTTTTATTAATTACTAACACAGTTATTTTGCTATTTTGTGGGGACTTAATTTACAGTCCATTTTAGAGAAAAGAAAAGAATGCTGTTGGTCCTTGATAACCTTTAGGATGATAGATCATTTTAGTTAAATAAACATTTACATTTATAACGTTCTGATATGTGAATTTTTAGTGAGAGTAAGCATTAAAGGCCATTATATCCCACCAGGAAGGAGATGATTATTTAGATTAATGGATTATTTGGTGCCATTCTCAGTTATATTTTAGGCTTAAGACAGGGCTTACGTCCTACTCTACACCATGAACCTGCTGTCCCAGCAGCAAACCAGCCTCAAATGAATGTGGAAGTGTGCATCCTTGGGATCATGACAGATCTGATTTGATTTTTTCTTGTTGATCAGTTATTTATGTGTTATCAATGATCATTGATATAATTGTATATTATCATTGATTATATCATTGATATAATTATTGAACAATGTATAATAATCAATTATACATTTTATGTACAGTTCTGAAAAGATAACATGCCATCTTATGTCTTTTCTGATTAAAGCTAACACATGGCTCTTCTGACCTTATTTAAGATGAGGTGTATCAGTTTCTTACTTTTTTTGTCTTTTTTGAGTTTATATAAAATTTGAGGATTTGGTAAATATCTTAAGGAAGTACTAATCATGTTATTCCTTGCCAGATCAAGTAGCAAATTCATGAACTATCTGCTATAGATACCAGTGTTCACTCAGCTACATATATTTTAAAAAGTATCTTTGTCACTCTGAGGAATATCTGATTTGGTTTCATTTTTTGCAGGCACATTAGAAACTGACTTAATCACAACTCTCACAGCTCAATGACTGAGGTGCGTACATAGGTGAGAGAAAACAGTGACGCTTGGTTTCCTCTTTGTGAACAGCTCGCTGTGCATACCATGTGTTTTAGGATGGCCCGTTCCTTTGCATTATCTGCAAGTCACCTCTAGAATTGTTTTGAAAGCTGAAGGTGCAATCTAAATAACTAGTCTTATAATCAACTATTTGAATCCCTGTTCTCATTGTTGGCATCAGTGTACAACAGTAATTTTCAACTGGTGGGCCATAAGGGTTTTTGAAACATGCAGTTTCTGATTAGTCAGAGGTATTGAACTCTCTTCCCTGAGACTATCAAATAAAATGACGGCAGCCAACTCAGTAACAGCCGTCTGCTATGACTGGATCAAAACTGCATCTATTCTTTTGTCAGACTGGCAAAAACATAGTCTTTGGTGTGGTGCAGAATTTTAGTAATTAGTTTATGTGTGCAATGAGATGAAGAAGGTTGAAAATCGCTGGCTTACAGTAAGATAAAAAATATAATCATTAGATACTTTGCCATGAAAATAGTTATATTTACAAAATAACTCAATTGTTTGATAAATTTGTTACATTTTAACTTCCAGGTTTAGGTTGTAAAAATTATTGTTTTTAATCAAAGTATTTTCAATAGATGTGGCAAAAAGCATTTTTAAAATTTTAAGTTCAAGGCATGGAATGTCTGTTTCTCTAATTTCCATAGTTTAGCTACATCATGATTTAAAAATATTTTGCAAGGCCAGTATTATTCTTTGCAAAAAATTGCTATTTGCACACATAGATCTGTAGTCCAATATCAAGAGTTTTCTGTATCATGCCAAACACTGTGACAAGATCATTAACATCAAAATCAGACAGCACCTGGTATGAAAGGAGAAATTTTGATTACCATTTAAAAACTTGAATAAAACTTCTTTTACCAGGAAATTTAAGAATACTTAATCATATTCTAAAATAACATTTGAATTTTTGAAGTACTGATTTTATACTTATTTTTAAAGATATGTAATCTGAGGCAGAGATATATCCTGGATATTTTTGGTGTGTGTTTTATATCACTTACCCCTTTTTAAGATGAGACATTGTAAAATCTAAGATTTTTCAGTTGTATGTAGACCATGTTTTAGAATCACCTTTGAATATTAATAAAGTTACTAGACCCCAAGCTTGGTAATTTGGTTGTTACAAAATTAACCCATGAACTGGAATATTTTTATCCCATTGCAGTGACTGATACAACAAATGGAATGAGTTTTGAAGTTTTCAGTGTGCAATTTGAATCTGGTTCTATGTTGCTATTTTGAGATGGTTTATCTTTTTTCAGCAGGTATATATATCTGTGGATAACTCCAACAGAGTTTAAAGTAGCAAATCCAGTTAGAATTAGAAGACGGAGACCTACCTCCACTCTTGATGAGGACGTCGAAGAGGTCGTCCATTTGCTGACTGTGCGTGTGGGAGACCTGTGACCAAGGAGAGTGCAGATCAGCTTTCCTTCCTACACACCCAGGTGTGCCATGCACCTGTGTGCTCCAAGAAACCTCACACAACATCTAGTTCTAATCAGTCATTCAATCATTCTGAAAACGCTGAGGTCCCCTGAGAGGTTAAACCATTTATGCAGTGTTCCAGATGGTACACCGACAACATTTTGACAGGCTTCTCATATTTTCTTTTAAAAATGTTTTAATTTACTTGTGCATTTTGGTAAAAATATAAAGTATGTATAAAGGTGACCATGCTATATTATTCAGCTTTATTGAGAGTAACCCGACATACAGTAAACTGCAGCTATATGAAACAGACAGCTTGGAAAGTTTTGACATATGTACATACCCATGTAAGACTACCAGCAAAGGCGAGATAATGAATATTCCAATGCTCCTAGTTTCCTCGTGCTCCTTTGTGATAGTTTTTCTATCATCCCTAGGTAATGCTGATTTCTTTCATTATAGATTAGTTTACATTTTCTAGTGTTATGTAAATGGACTCATATATGTACTCATTTTTTGGTGGGGGTGGCTTCTTTCATTCAATATGATTTTGTGGTATATCCATGTTTGTAGGTTATACCTTAGGAATAGTTCATTCCTTTTTATCACTGAGAAGGTTTTTTTTTTATTGTAAGAAACGGAAGTTTGTCTTGTTTCTAGATTCTGGCTATTGAAGATAAAGTTGCTATGAACATTGTGTACAAGTCTTTGTATGGACATACGTTTTTTTTCTCTTGGGTAAAATACCGAGGAGTGGACTGACTGGATCATAGGGCAGGTGTGTGTGTAACTTTTTAAGAAATGACTGTTTCCAAAAGCAGTTGCACCATCATACATTTTCACCAGTAATGTATGAGGTTTTCAGTGGCTCTACCTTCTCTTCAATACTTGGTACAGTTGGTCATTTTATTTTTAGACCTCTAATAGGTATGCAGTGCTATGGCACTGTGAAGTTAATGTGCATTTATTTCCCTAATGCCTTGACACTGAGCATCTTTCCACATGCTTATCTGCCATCTGTGTATCTTCTTTGGTGATGCCTGTTTAGATCCTTTGCCTGCTCCAGCACTTCTTATGCTCACTGTTTTTACGGTATATCTTTTTCCAACCATTTACTTTCAACATTTAAAGTATGTTTCTTGTAAGGCCCTTGCAGAGTAGCTCAGTTGCTTAGAGCATCATCCCAATAGGCCAAGGTTCGATCCCTGGTCAGGGCACATAAAAGAGTCAACCAGTGAATGCATGAATGAGTGGAACAACAAACTGATGTTTCTTTTTCCTTCCTCTCTTGATAAAATCAATAAAAAAATAAAGTATGTTTCTTGTAGATGCACACATTAGTTATCTATTGCTCTATTACAAATTTACCAAAACACTTAGTGGCTTAAAACACTAAGTGATTATTATCTCAGTTTCTGAAAGTCAGAAATTTAGGAATGATTTAGGTGGGTAGTTCTGGTTTGGGATCTTTCATGAGGTTACAGTCAAGATGTTGGCTAGGTTACAGCCATCTCCAGGCTTGGCTCACTACGTGATTGGCAAGTGGGTGCTGAGTGTTGACGGGGGGTGTCCACACGGCCTCTCCGAGAGCGGCTGGACTGTCCATGTGGCATGACAGCTGGCTTTCCACACAGCCAGCAGTCCAAGAAAGAGCAAGGCGGGAAGGGTGTGCCTTTTTATCACTTCATTTCAGAAGTCACATACCACCACTTCTGCCAGTTCTGTTAGTTAAAACTGGTCACTAAGGCCAACCCCGGAGAGAATATCAAAGAATCTGCAGAACTACCACAGAGCATATAGTTGGTTTTGTTTTTTTAAAAATCATTCTGATTATCTATAATTTAATTATATTGTTTACTAGTGTGCCTTATGTAATCATTGGTATTGTAAAATTTACACTTGCCATTGTATTATTTCTATTTATCCTGTTTTGTTCCTCCTTTTCTGTCCTTCTAAAAATTTTTGCCTTTTTTGAATTCTTTGTCCCCCGCCCCCCCGCCCCCAAAACTGTATTCCTTAGATTCCTGTATAGCTATACGATATATATCCTTGCCCTGGCTGGGTAGCTTGGGTTGTTTGAGTGTGTCCCTTACACCAAAAGACTGTGGGTTCAATTCCCAGTCGGGGCACATATTTGGGTTGTGGGTTCAGTCCCCGGTTGGGATGTGTATGAGAGGCAACTGATGGATATTTCTCTCCCCCTGCCACCCGCTAAAATCAATAAACGTATCTTTGGTTGAGGATTAAAAACATTTATATACATCCTTAATTTTTCATAGCTACTTAATTTTATTTTTTTTAATTATTTAAAACTTTTAAAATAGAATTTATTGGGGTGACAGTGGTTAATAAAATCATAGGTTTCAGGAGCACAAGTCTATAACACATCATCTGTGTACTGTACTGTGTGTTTGGCACCCTGAGTCAAGTCTCCTTCCATCGTTTATTCCCCTTTACCTTCTTCTACCTCCCCCCATCCCCTTTCCTTCTGGTGATCACCATACTGTCGTTTGTGTCTGAGTTTTTTTTCTTAATCCCTTCACCTTTTTTAACTATCCCGCCAACCCCCACCCCCTGATGGCTGTCTGCCTGTTCTATGTATCTGTGCTTCTGTTGCTATTGTTTCGTTAAATTATTTTGCTCATTAGATTCCACATGAGTGAGATCACATGGTATTTGTCTTTCTCTGACTGGCCTATTTCACCTAGCATAAGCTCTCCAGGTCCATCTATGCTGTTGTAAAAAGTAAGATTTCCTTCTTTTTTTAATGACTGAATAGTATTCCATTGTGTAATGTACCACAACTTTTTAAATCTACTTGATCTACTGATGGATGCTTGGGCTGCTTCCAAATCTTGGCTGTTATAAATAATGCTGCAATGAACATAGAGGTGCATATATTCTTTCAAATTAGTTTTGGGTTTCTCATATTCCCAGAAGTGGAACCATGGGGTCAGGCTACTTAATGTTGTACCACTGCATATAAAATATAAAACCCCTGTAAACATACAACCCATTTATTTCCCATATCCTTTATTAATTTTGAGTATTATATCTATGTATTTTATAAATCTACCAGGACAATGTTATTTGTTATAGTGCAGGTTTGCTTGATAAGAAAATATCTCTAGTTCATTTAACATACTTCAAAGATATTTTCACTTGATACAGAATTCTGGGTTGACAGTTCTTCCCACCTCTTCCACTTGAAGAACTTTAAGGATGTTTTGCCACTCCTTCCTGGCTTCCACTGTTTCTGATGAAAAGTAGACCACAAATGAAACAGCTGTTCCCTTGTGTGTATAATTTGCTATTTTCTTGATGCTTTCAAGTTTTGCTCTTTAACTTTGGCTTCAATAACTTGACTATGATATGATGAGGCCTTCTATTTATCTTGCTTGGTACTCACTGAACATCTCAAAGCTTTACATAAACTTGTTTTTTATCATATTTGTGAAAAAATTCAGCCATTATTTCTTAAAATATTTTACCTACCTCATTTTTTCTCTCCTTTCCTTGGACCATTATACTCGTGTTAGATTATTTGATCTTAAGTAACAGGTTTCTAAGGCTCTCTTAACCTTAAAAAGTTTTTTCTCTGCCATTCAGATGGGTAAGTGCTATAGATCTATCCTCAAGTTCAGTTTTTTTTAAAACCTCTGCCACCCTCATTCTGCCAAGATCATCTATAGTTGTTTCATTTCAGATAGTGTATTTTGTAGTTTTAGAATTTCCATTTTATTCAAAAAAATTTATATTTGCATACATTTACTATCTTTTTTCTTATTAATGTTTTATTTTTTTAAGTTATTTTTTATTACAGTTGACATATAATATTATATTAGTTCAGGTATACAACATAGTGATTACACATTTATATAAGTTACAAAGTGATCACCTCAATAAGTCTACTACCCATCTGACATCATACAGTTATTACAATATTATTGACTATACTCCCTATACTATACTTTACATTTCTATGACTGTTTTTAATCTGGCAATCTGTACTTCTTAATACCTTCTCTGTTTTTGACCCATCCCTTCAATCCCCCTCTAATCTGGCAACCATCAATTTGTTCTCTGTATCTATATGTTTGATTTATTTAGATTCTACATATAAGTGAAATCATACAATATTTGCCTTTCTCTGACTTATTTTACCTAGCCTAATACCCTTTAGGTCACAGGTGGCAAACACAAGGCCCACGGGCTGAATCTGCCCTCCACGTTTTTTTTTATCTGGCCTGGCACCTTGTTTCTACCCGGCGGCAGAGCCAGCTCCTTGCCCCTAGTTAATGAGTAGTCACATTTACACAGTCCTAAAATTACATTCAGCCCTTTGAAGGCAACCGCAAGGCTGATGTGGTTCCCGGTGAAAATGAGTTTGATACCCCTGCTCTTGGTCCATCCATGCTTTTGCAAGTGATAAGATTTCATTCTTGATTATGGCCAAGTAATATTTCATTGCATATATGTACTACACCATCTTGACATTTTAGTCCAATTGTCTGTCGATGACTGGGGCTGCTTCCATATCTTGGCTTTTGTAAATAATGCTGCAGTGAACATAGGTGTACATATATCTTTTTGAATTAGTGTTTTGGATTCCTTTGGATACTCAAAAACTGGAATTGCTAGGCAACATGCTAGTTCTCATTTTAATTTTTTCAGGAATCTCTGTACTGTTTTCCACAGTGGCTACAACAATTTGCAATCCTGCCAACAGTGCATGAGGGTTCCTATTTCTCCACATCCTCACCATCACTTGTTGATTTATTGATGACAGCCATTCTGACAGGTGTGAGGTGATACCTCATTGTGGTTTTCATTTGCATATCCCTGATGGTTAGTGATGTTGAGCATCTTTTCATATGTCTGTTAGCCATCTGTACGTCCTCTTTGGAGAAATGCCTACTTAGGTTCTTTTAGTAGATTTTTTCTTTTTGATGTTAAATGTATGAGTTCTTTATAGAGGCTCCAACAGAAGTAATGCCTGCTTGAGTGTGGTTGGTAGGGTAATAACACAGGTATAATAATTACAGTTTCAATTTGAACATTTTGCCTAAAATGTCATATGGTGTGCTTGAATGTGATATTGTTACGTTACAGAATTACATGCTTATGATTTTGTAATAAAAGATTTTACAATAAAAAAGGAGTGTTATTTGTGCCAGACCCTGTATATTTAGGACACTAGCCCCTTATCAGATGGGTCATTGGCAGATACTTTCTCCTGTTCGGCAGGCTGTCTTTTCATTTTGTGATAGTTTTCTTTGCTGTGCAAACCTTTTAGTTTGATGTAGTCCCATTTGTTTATTTTTTCTTTTGTTTCCCTTGCCCAAGGAGACATATCCAAAGAAATATTACTAAGAGTGCTGTCAAAATTTTACTACCTATGTTTCCTTCTAGGAGTTTTGTGGTTTCAGGTCTTATATTTTGAGTTAATTTTCGTATATGATGTAAGAAAGTATTCTAATTTCATTTTTTGGTATTTCTGTCATTTTCCCAACACCATGTATTGAAGTGATGTCTTTAGCCTATTATATGTTCTTGCTTCCGTTGTCATAGATTAATTGACCTTAAAGGCATGGGATTATGTCTGGGTTCTCTATTCCTGCTGATCTATGTGTCTGTTTTTATGCCAGTATGTGTTTCCATCCCTGGAGATAGCTGCCCCTCCAGCCTTTGCCCTGAAGTTAGTCAGTTTAATTCCTCCTGTATATGCTGGTGCTTTTTGAGCTGCTGCCCCAGCATAGGAACTTAAAGTGAGTAAGTCTGTGAGCAAGTGAGTCAAAGGCATGATCACCTTCCAACATACAACATTTTGTAATGTATCAAAATGCTGTCATACTTCTTATCCCCTTTACACTTCCCAGGACCAGTAGCCAAATGATGTGGCTGTGACCAACCCTATTTATACATATGACAAAAATGACTTATCCTTGCTCCCACCCCTTCAAGAAAGCAATTGCTAGAGTGTCAGAATGCAACTGAAAATCCAGACCCCCCACCCTCCAAATTCTGCCTGTTTGCCATAACAATACTGGTCAGTTTTTGGTGGCCAATTTTTTACCCCGTGTGTATATATTTTTTTCTTTGTACTAGCACTACCCATTTCAGTTTGAGGATTTTTTTTGCTCTTTCATATTTCCATAATAATGATCATCACCATAACAAGAGCTGCTACCATTTACTGAGTCACTGAAATTGCTAGACCCAGTACAAGCTGTTTTAAAATACACGATCCAATTTAATTCTCAACCCTGTGTGGTAGGCAATATTACACGTCTTAAAGATAAAGAGACAGGAGCTCACAGAGGCCAAGTTCATAGCTGCTGAAAGAGAAAGATACCACTAAAACACTGATCACATGACAGCCTGGCAAACTCAGAGACTGAAAGTAACCACACAGGACGGTCTGATCACACATTCCTAATTGGGCTGGTCATAGCACGTAGTCACGTCCTAGGCTATAGCAAAGATCAACGTTTCCTTAAGGGAGCTTTGTCCATTGTTTATGCATCCAGGATAACATATAAGAGTAGTTTTCTTCTCCTCCTCCTAAAGGCGCAACCACCGGCACTGGAGCACGAGACCACGGAACCCTTCATTGTCATCTTGTTCCCCGCATACCACCTCTACGTGCTGTACCCACCAGTGCAAGAGAGGTGTTCTTCTGTGATTTTTCCTGCCTCCTTCACCTACCAACAGTGGATTTCATATAACTCTCGTCCTTTAATTCTAATGTATAAAAATAAGCTGCAAAACTGCCGTTTGTGGAGATTAATTTGTAAGTTATAAAAATGTGTGATCAGTACGTTCCGTATCAGTATGTTCTAATATAATAATGCATGTCAACGTGAATGAACCACCACAATGAGAACCGCCCTTCCTAACCCGCGGAGATTTTCGGCCCAGCATCACGTGTGCTCTGTGCAGGCAGGTCCTTCTCCTCCCCCTGCCCCTGTCCAGCAGTCAACTACTGTATGGTCCCACTTATATGCGGAATCTAAAAAAACAAAATAAATGAAGAAAAGACCCAGAAACAGGCTTAGATCTAGAGAACAAGCTGATGGTTCCCAGCTGATGGTTGTGGGGGGATTATGGGAATAAGAAAAATGTTACAACAAAATGAGTACTGTATACAGCCCATCCATTCAATAAACACTTATGTAAAAGATTGAGTTATGAAGTAGTATGATTCCAGATACATGTAAAAAGTTCTATGGACATAAAAATGGATTATATACAGCAGAATATAAATAAAAGGACTCTGAGTGGTAGGACCATTGATTTTTTTTTTCCATTTTATACTCTCCTGGGATTTCCAAATTTTCTGAATGAACACACATTTTTTTATAATTAGAAAACAAGTTATGCAAAGATTTTCAAGAGACGAGACGTGAGCAAAACATAAATGTAAAAGTGAAAGGTGAGTAACAAGCTCTCTAGGAGCACAGGAAAAGACTGAAGTCAGATTGTTTCAAAACCTCAGACATGTCGATGTGTCTCTAAACCTGCAAGAACTTGAAAGACATGGTCAGAGCTGACTTACATTTTTCTTCATTTTCTGTCACTATCAAATTGTCAATTCCCTTTAGAGGAGGACCTTATAAGAAAAATATGGAAAAGGAAAAGAGGGACCTGTGTAACAATCACCTCTATCCTAACATGACCCTACCAACAACTGGCCCCAAAGGAAAAGTTGAAAGAGAGACCCTTCATTTCTGAGAAATTGTAGGTTACACAGCTGCTGAAACCTGCTTGGAAGTTGAAGTCTTCACAGTAAAGGATATTTTGATTTTAAACAGCATTTAAAATGCAAATAAGGCTCCTAGCCATGACCTCTGTATTTCTATTGAGGCAAGTCCATTTTAGAAAAGATTTGATTTGAGGATGACATGAAATTGACAGATGAAACAGAAGCCACTGGCCTCACTTACCTCTGGAAGAGAGGACTGGGTGCTGCGTGTCTGCTTGATGGCCTCCTCATAGCGGGGAGGGTCTTTTGTCTTGGGGACTGGGCTCCCAAACAGAGAGTGCTGGACGACAAACTGCTGGGTTGGAGGGGGTGAACTTGGCTGTGGCAAACACAGGAGCACATGTCAGCTCGGGGCAGTAAGCTTCCTCACACCCTGGCTGGGCTCAGCTCCACTGTTCCTCACACAGTACTCAAATCATGGGGCTCCTAAGCCTATGAGGCTGAGTCAGCATGGGTGGGCCACTTGTGTGGGGATGGCCGTCTTCACTGTGATAACAGCTCAGATGCCCCTTAACAATGTCACCACAGTATTTTTAGCTATTTCTCCTACGAATACTGACCTTCAGCCATTCCAAGCCTAAAGCTTTGGAACGATGTATACCCAGTAAGCATGTCACTGCTGCGGTCACCACAGGATTACCTTGCTGGGAGGGCTGGGTCCGTTTTGCAGGGATGGGAGGGGTGCACTTCTGGACTGGAGAACACTGCTGGGTGTCTTGTTAATGAAGGGCTGCTGGACCGCTGGGGCGGGTGGTCTCTGATATGAAAGGACTGTATTGGATGCTGAGCTGGTGAAAGCCTGTAATGAATAAATATTTCCCCATCAGTTTATCCTTCTGCTGTTCCTACTAAAGAAAATCATGTTTTAATTAAAACAGGGGTCAGCAAACATTTTCTGCAAAGGTCCACAGTGTAAGTTTAGGGTTTGTGGGCCATGCTGCCTTTGGGGTGACTGCTTGCTTCTGCCACTTTGGCACAGAAGCAGCCTGGCCAACACATAAATAAATGTGTGGGGTGGGGTTCCAATACAGCTTTATCTGTAAAAATGTGGGGCTGGGTTTGGCCCACAGGCATGGTTTGCCACCTGATTTTCAGGTGTCAGTGGTCCCTTTACTCGATGGTTTATCTTTGATGGCAGGGTGGACAGTGCTTTGTGGGAAGGCAGTATTGGCTCAGTATAATTTCCCTTGAAAATGACATCTCAATTTCTTCTTTTATAAATTTAATCTTGTTTTTCCATTCCCATTTAGTCCCCTTATACCTCTTGCCTCCCAGCAATCACCACACTGTTGTCTATGTCCATAAGTCCTTTTTCCTTTTTGCTCGACCCCTCCACCCCAATCTCCCCCTTACCCCCACTAGCTATCATCTGTTCTCTATAAGTCTGTCTCTATTTTCCTTGTTAGTTCAGTTTATTAGATTCCACATATGAGTGATATCATATGGTATTTGTCTTTCTCTGACTAGCTTATTTCACTTAGCATAATACTCTCTAGGTCCATCCATGCTGTTGCAAAAGGTAAAATTTTCTTCTTTTTCATGGCTGAGTAGTATTCCATCATGTAACTCTCCCACAGTTGTTTTGTCCACTCATCTACTGATGGACACTTAGGCTGCTTCCATATCTTGGTGATTGTAAATAATGCTGCAATAAACATAGGGGTGTTTATGTTCTTTTGAATCAGTGTTGTGGGTTCCCTTGGATCTATTCCCACAAGTGGGATTGCTGGGTCAAAAAGTAGATCCATTTTTAAATTTTTGAGGTATCTCTATATTGCTTTCCATAGTGGCTGCCCAAGTCTGCATTGCCTTTTCTCCACATCCTCACCAGCACTTCTGTTGTTTGTTGATTTATGGATGATGGCCATTCTGACTGATGTGAGATGATACCTCATTGTGGTTTTAATTTGCATTTCTCTGATGATTAGTGATGCTGAGTATCTTTTCATATGTCTATTGGCTATTTTTATGTACTCTTTGGAGAAGTGTCTATTCAGGTCCTTTGCCCATTTTTTAATTGTGTTGTTTTTTTTTTGGTGTTGAGTTTTGTAAGTACTTTATAAATTTTGGGTATTAACCCCTTATCAGGCATATTAGCAAATATTTCTCCTATTCTGTGGGTTGTCTTTTTTTGGTTGATGATTTCCTTTGCTGTGCAAAAACTTTTTAGTTTGATGTAGTTCCCTTTGTTTCTTTCTTTTTTGTTTCCCTTGCCTGGGGAAATATATCCGATAAAAGATTTCTATAAGCAATGTTCAAGATGTTGCTGCCTATATTTTCTTCTAGTATTTTTATTGTTTCTGGTCTAACATTTAAGTTTTGATCCATTTTGAATTTACTCTTGGGTGGGGTGTAAGAAGGTGGTTTATTTTCCTTTTCCTGCATGTATCTGTCCATATTTCCCAACACTTTTTATTGACTAGAATATCTCTAGCCCATTGTATGTCTTGCTTTCTCTGTTGAATATTAACTATAAAGGTGTGGGTTTATTTCTCGGCTTTCTATTCTGTTCCATTGATCTATGTGTCTGTTTTTATGCCAGCACCATCCTGTTTTGAATACTATGGCTTTATAGTATAATTTGATATTAAGTAGCATGATTGCTCTAACTTTGTTCTTTCTGAGGATTGCTGTTGCTAAGTGGGGCCTTTTGTAGTTCCATATATATTTTTGAAATATTTGTTCTACTTCTGTGAAATATGTCGTCGGAATCTTGATAGGAATTGCACTGAACCTACAGATTGCTTTGGATAGTATGGACATTTTAATAATGTTAATTATTCCTCTCCAAGAACATGGTATGAACTTCCACTTATTTGTACCTTCTTCAATTTCTTTCTTTTTCTGAGTACAGGTCTTTTACATCCTTGGTTAGGTTTATTCCTAGGTATTTTATTCTTTTTGAAGCAATTGTGAATGGGATTGTTTTCTTAATTTTACTTCTGTTAGTTTGTTATTGGTATATAAAAACGCAAATGATTTCTGGATATTAATTTTGTATCCTGTAACTTTGCTGAATTCATTTTTCAGTTCTAGAAGTTTCTTCATGGAATCTTTGGGGTTCTCTATGTACAGTATCATGTCATCTGCAAAAAGACAATTTTACTTCTTCCTTTCCAATTTGGGTGCCTTTTATTTCTTCTTCTTGTCTGACTGCTGTGGCTAGGACTTCCACTACTGTGTTGAATAAGAGAGGTGAAAGTGGGCATCTCTATCTTGTTCCCGATCTTAAGAGGAATGCTTGTAGTTTTTGCCCGAGTATGAGGCTGGCAGTGGGATTGTCAGATATGGCCTTTATTATGTTTAGGTATGTTCCTTCTACTCCCACTTTGCAGAGAGTTTTTATCATAAATAGGTGATGGATTTTATCATAAGCTTTTTCTTCTCTTTTGATATAATCATGTTGTTTTTATCCTTCATTTTGTTTATGTGGTGAATCACATTTATTGATGTGTGAATGTTGTACCACCTTGCATTCCCGGAATAAATCCCACTTGATCATGGTGTATGACCTTTTTGATGCATTGCTGTTTGGTTTGCTAATATTTTGTTGAGGATTTTAGTGTCTATATTCATCAAAGATATTGGCCTATAATTTTCTTTCTTTATAGTGTCTTTATCTGGTTTTATCTGGACTTAGGATAATGCTGGCCTAATAAAATGAGTTTGGGAGTTCCCCCTGGCCACTGAAATATCCCTCTGGTACTTCAGCTGCCACCTGTGAGAGCCCCACCCGCCCTCTCGAGTCTCCTCTGCACTCCCTACCAGTCAAGTTGCAGTGAAGTGGTTTCTTTTGTCCGTCTGTGGTTATAAGGCTTCTCTCTAGCCAATGTTCAGTTGGTTATTCTGGATGATTTCTCTGTAAATTAGTTGTAATTCCAGATTGGTCCTGGGAAGAGGTTAGTGTAACTTACACTCACTCCTCTCTGCCATCTTGGATCCAGTGACTCTCAATTTCTTATATTCCTCACTAGAGTGGTTGCACCTAGTCTCCTGGCTTTAGTGTTCACAGTGAATCCAATGATCCCCAAACCCACCTCTCTCTTCCAACCTTGCATCCAAGTGCCAGAGCCACTTTTACAAACACAAGTATTTGGGATATATCAAGTTTCATAGATTCCAAACTCAGCTTTCCCTTTTCTTCCCTCAATCCCCAGCCTCCGAGGAAAAGTAATTCCTGGTTTTGCCTTCGTATTTTTTTAAACTTTAGTAAATGGAACCATCAGCCTATTTTCCCTCAGAGCTCACACCTCTTAGAAATGCCTCTTGGTTCGGGCCTCTGTTCTCAGTGTCTTACTCCAGGTCCTTATTATCTGTCACTGGAATCCTGCCCTAGGGAGCTCACTGTACCTCCCTGCCTGTCAACCACCCACCGGAAGTATAATCTTAGCACACACACCTGATGGAGCTCTGTCTTTAGGGTAAAAGCCTAATTTTTGCTGGTGTATAAACCTTCTTATTACCTGGCCCCTTTCCATCCTACCGGAAAGGTTACACATGCTGTGGCCACAGTCAATTTTCTAGTTGCTTGAAAATTTCTTCAAATTTTTGCAAGGCTCCATTTAAAATCTGCTCCCTTCTAAGAAACAGTGTTCTGCTCTGTCAGACAGAGGTGAGAATTTCCTTCTGTGGAACTACAAAGTGTTCTGTTTAGCTCCAATGAAGAGCCAAAGGTTTTAGAACCTTTTGCAAATGTATGGCCAGACTATTGGTATTGTAACAATTTCACAGAACTGGTTTGCTCATAAAAATATTTTATGTACTTCATGCCACTAGTTTCCTGAAGGAGAAAAACTTATCCTGTATTTTTATTGTAAATAAACGTAAGTATTTCTTAAACATGAAAGTACGTGTGTGTTTATATCCCTCCAAACAGTACAACTTCTCTGGGTGATGAGTTTTGTAAGTATATTCCTCTTTTAAAAAATAGAATTTACTAATATTTGATAAAATTATCTTCCTTTAAGTTGGAAGTAATGATTCCTAATTCTATTATTTTGAGATTCTGTGAATAAACTCTTATTTGTATAGATACTGTTTTTCCCTTTCACCCTAAAACAAAGAAAACTGTTTCAATGTGTGAACATTCACGAAGCTTATCCTACACTAAAATGTTATTTTGGGCCCAAACTAAGAGATACGCAACTAGAACTCCTGCCTTTTCTCAGAGAGTCTGAAAGAGAGGATGTGCATTAATTAACATCACGGTTCTGATGTGAGAGGCTGCCTCTGTCCTTTGAGTTGTCTCAGCCGAAACAGCTCACACCACCCTGGGGCACAACTACAGGTCCACCTAATTATCTAGGTTCTTTCACATAGGAGACGAAAACTCTGGGACTGATACTAATTCTCAAGGTTTATAATAATAAGACTTATTTTTGAGGCCTTAGTATTTTTCTGGCAAGGAGATGTACACATAGCTCCACCTACTGGGTAAGTGGGAATTTTGCTAACTTTTGGGTGGGAATTGGTGTAGAGGACACTGAACCCTAGATCAATACCATAATTTTGAAGATGAGGAAAATGACACTCAGAGAAAGAAAGTGAACTGTACATAGGTCCAACATTCAGGAGAAGCAGAATGGGATGTGAGGGTGATCTGGATGCAACATCTGTCACCCCGTTGATCGTCAGGGTCGATTCAGCTGATATGGCTGGCTAGGCGGGTGTCCCCTTCTTCCCTCACCGATCCAAGTGCATCCCTCCTGAAGCTGCACACTCAGTGAAAGAGGATGACCTTTTCAACCGGGGGAGAGGACCAGTCTTTGCTCAGGGGTATACAAGTAGCTGCGCTCCCCTGCTAACAACCTCCAAAGGAGCTCTCAAGAACTCTTTCTCTTTCCCAAATAATTGGATAATCTGCAGCCAAATGACATCTGACTTGATGCTCCTGGATGGGAGACAGTTCATCGAACAGAACAAAGGGAGCTTCCCCAGATGAAGCCCTGTGAAGATGCTGAGTGGCTGAGCAGATGAGAGTACCAATCAGCCACTGTCTGTCACCCATTAGCATTCACCAACCTTTCTGACTTGCTGTGGCTGACTGAGCACATGTGGTGTGAACGTGTCTGGTTTCTGAGGTATAGTCTGGACCAAGCCTGAGGACAAGGCGGTGGCTGCTATCTGAGGCTGAGTCTGGATTCCTGCTTGTGGTGGAGTCTAGGATGCAAAAAAAAAATAATAAAAAATAAATAAATTGTTGTAATCAAAGTTAGAATCAGGAGTTTAGATGTGGTCATTTGGGGATCACATCTGAAATAAGATAAAATACAGATAATACACTTCAACTCATCAGCACCTAAATTTGAGCCTTAACAATTCAAAACCATAGAGATAAACACCAGACCAGTTATTTTCATGTTCTTATTATTCTTTAAGTGGCTAAGATGTTCATCTGGAAATTCTGTGAAAATAAAAAACTGAAATAAAAAGAACCTGTAGCAACTGTATATTGAATAGGTCAGGTATTATGAGCAGCAAGGAAATCTGTGAGGCTCAAGAGCCCAAATTCCTGCATTTAAGCTGCAATGTGATGGCTCTCTGGGGACAGTCAGCCATGTGCCAGCACACACAGGCCCAGAACGAAACGCGGTTCTTCTCCTAGAGCTGGGGTGTCAGACTCATTTTCACTGGGGGCCACGTCAGCCTTGTGGTTGCCTTCAAAAGGCCAAATGTAATTTCGACTCCTTACCAGTTAAGGAGTAGTTACATTTATACAGTCCTAAAATTATTTCAGCCCTTTGAAGGCAACCGCAAGGCTGATGTGGCCCCCATTTTGAAAGAGAGTTTGACATCCTGTCCTAGAACATCAACTGTAATGCAAGATTTGGACAGGGGAAAAGTTCAGAAAAGCTATATTAAAGAGCAGGCTTTCCACTTCATAGATACTCTAAAGATTAAGCAGGGGAATTAGGATTTTCGCAAATGCCAAGGGCCTGTGGACCATGCCTTCTCACCCCAGGGCACACTCTGCTAAGGATACCTGGGTAGTCAAGGTGGAGAAGCACTGCTTGTGGACCATATTGTGCTGAAACCTATGGCTGTCACCTTACATAAAAACAAACTTAAAGGTCAATGTATAGGTCATGTAAGCATAAAAGGAAATTTCACTAGTAATAACTCTCTCAAAACCTTCACTTCTAAATGTTATGGTCACATTTTCCTTAGTGCAGGCATCTTCACATTACCGGTGCCTTTCAAGGACTACATTTGGGAGGTAGAATGTAAGAGTGGACATAAGAGTCTCAAAGTTCTGGAGTCAGAAGGCTGAGGTTTAAACACTACTTCTATTCTCAGGCAACTTGCTAAGTCTTCAAGGGCCTCAGTTTCACTATCTAGAAATGGGTTTTATCACTTGGTTCTTCTAGGGAAGGGGGGATTAAATGAAGTAAGTCATTTAAAGTACTTGATGTTGTGCCCAGTGCATAAAAAGTGCTCAGTGACAGCAACTATTATCATGATATCATAGGTATTTAAAAATGACTACATATACTATGCTATGTTCATTAAAGGTAAAAGGTACCATAAACAGAAAAGCACCCTGTTGTTTTACTACATAAAAACAGTACTGATGATTCATAATTTTGAATACCCCAGTCCCCCCAAAAACAGTTTTCTGCAACTGTGAAGCCTGATTTGGATGCATGTATGAAAAAGCTCAGGTATTTGTCACTAGCAGAGTGTCCATTCTATGCAGGCTGCAAGGCAAAGTAGTTAGAAGACACACTACACACCTGGAGTTTGAGGCTGCCTACGGGGAGCTGCACTGAGGTGACACTGGAGCCCTGGATGGACACTGGGAGCAGCAGCTGAGCAGTCTGTGTGGTCAGCAGAGCCTGAGGCTGGGCAACAACAGCAGGCGGTGCCTGTCCCTGGGAACTCACGTAGAACTGTGGGACGATGCTCTGCTGCTCTGCCTGGGCCACAGACACCTCTTGCTTGATCACCACAGCCTTTTTGGCAACAAGGGTCTGGCCACCTGTAGAGACAGGCTGGCCCACAGAATGGCTCGCTCCTGGGACAGGCTGCCTGGGGCTGGAGCAGTCAGTGAGTGAGGTCTCATCTTTGATGGAGGAACTGACGCTGCCATGCTTCTGCTCCAACTGGCTGATAGAATTAGCTGGGGCACCGGGCTGGGGTTCCAGTGGTCGCTGCTGCTGCTGCTGCTGCTGTTGCCCTCGTTTTTCAACCTCAAGTTGCATTTTCAAAACTTCCACGAGCTTCTGCTCTTGTTCCAGTTTCCTCTTTAGCTCTTCAATCTGCTTCTCTTTCTCCTGAAGCTTGCGATCCTTCTCAGCTGCATCCAGTTCCAGATTGGACAGAGTGCTGCTGGTGGGACTTAGGCTGTCTTCATTACCTGTTACTCTCAAAGGAGATGAACACAAGAACTGTGAAGGAGACATCATGGTCATAATCTCAGTGAACGTGTCTGCCATGTTTGTGTCCTCGGTGCTGAGACTGGACTGTTCGGAAGGAGACGGTGAGATCGGCAGAGGCGAGTTAACAGTTTCCACATGGGCTGCATTGCTGGTTCCAGTAGATGGCAGTTCTGCCTTGAAAGTGGAGCCTGAGCTAGTTACACAGTTTTGTAGTGAGGTAACTGGCAACGCCATGGTGACTTCTGGGTTACTGGTGATGATGGCAGATGTTGACACTGCCACAATGCCATCAGTAGCAACGCCATTGCTGTTCATTTCCTGGTATGGTTTCAGGCGTTCGATAAGGTTCGGTTTGGTGCCTGACACTGGAAGACCCCTTAACTTCAGTTCTGTCTTCAGTTCTGATACCTAGAAATACAAACAAATCAGCTCTCTTCTGGTATTAAAACTTTCTGAAAAACCCACAGGACAGTTTTATGACCAGGAATGGGGCCTACATCTGGTAGACAACTCTATATTATTGCATATCTGAAAGTGGGACAGTTCCTTTTTCCTTTTTAACACCCAAAAAAACACACACACGATAGAGCTGAAGACACTGAAAGGCCAGTAATAAATAACAAGGCAAGAATTTTTAGGAGTTAATTTCTGTTATGTCAAAGAAAAGATTTACTACTAGAAATGTTGATGACAGCAGCTCCATTTACTGAGTAATTACTATGTGCCAGACGCTGTTGGAAGTGCTTTATTCTTTCACTTAATCTTCACATGAGGTGTAGGTGTTATTATTACCATTTTAAAGATGAGGAAATCGAGGCAGAGAGAGGTTGAATCACCAGTCCAAGCTACCTTAGATAACAGAAGGCTCAGTTTGTTTAGAAACCCAGAAAGGCTGGCCCTGGAGGTCACATTCTTAACTGTCACATTTCCCCACTTCTCCCAACTTGGCAATGAGCAGGGGGAAAAAGTCTTCTTTGGAATCAGAAACAGGTGTGGTGGTGGCGCGTGGTATTATATACTCAATAAATGAGAGCTATTATTGGTCACTATAATGATACTGTAAAGTAAACTTAATGGATGTAAAAGGTAAGTGCCTCTATGAGGGTTATCATATTGTTGGTAAAGTTAAACATCTGCTGAAAACTACCTAGACAAACTTTCCAAACCATTCACATTTTTGTGGTACTCTCGTGGGTGAATAAACTCTACTTGGAATTATCACCTTTAAGTCATCCAGGCTGGACGGCAGAGGTCCTGGCTTTCTCATGGGAGCAGACATATTCTGTCTTGCTGTGTTAGGTATGGTGTTATTCAAAGCTGAATTCCCACTGTTGTTATTTTTGTCATTGAGAGGCCTTCAAAAGAAAAGGAAAATCAGAGTTTATAAGAAAATAATTTCTGGATTTGCTACTGCTTGTGCTAAAAATTTGACTGCTAACTTAGAAAGAGAAAAATACCATGGTCATGAATGGGAAGACACAGTCTGGTAAAGATGTTGATCTAATTAGGTCCCAATAAAAATCCCTGTAGGTCAGGGGTGTCCAACCTTTTGGCATCTCTAGGCCACACTGGAAGAGGAAGAGTTCTCCTTGGCCACACATTAAGTACACTGAGGCACGTGATCACAAAAAAATCTCCTAACTTTTTAAGTAAATTCATGATTTTGTGTTGGGCTTCACTCATAGCCACCCTGAGCCACATGTGGCTCATGGGCTGCAGGTTGGACACCCCTGCTTAGGTTTTGCTTGTTTGCTTGCTTGGTAGAAATTTACAAAACGGTTCTAAGCTTTATATGGAAATGCAAAGGGCCAAGAATGGCCATGGCATCCTTGAAGAAGAAAAACAAAGTGCAAAGCTGGGAGAGCCATACCACTAGATACCAACATTTATTAAAAAGCCAGTTATTCAGGTGGTGTGGTGCTGGTGTGAAGACAGAATAACAGACAAATGGGAGAGATCATAGAATACAGAAACAGACCCCCCCTTGCCACAAAGGTGACATGGCACTCCAGTTCCACTAAATGGTACTGGGCCAAACCAGATATTCATACAGGGAAAAACAGTGTTCCAGATTGACCCCTACTTCACATCATTCACCAAAACCTGAGTGTGAATTTTGAAAACAATACAGCTTTTAAAGAAAACTAGGATAATATCTTCATGGCCTTTGGATAGGAAAAGACTTCTTAAACAGGACACAAAAGCACTAGCTAAAAGGGACATCTTTAAGAGGGTGAAAAGTCAAGCCATAGGAGAAATAATATATTTTTCTCACAAAAGACTCATATCTACAATACATAAAGAAGTCTTGCAAATCAGTAAGAAAGATAGAAGACTCAAAGGGAAAGTCTTGAGTAAGCTAGTCACAAAAAAAGTATGAGGTGTGTCCAGAAGGTATCTAGGCATGTAATATGAAAAACAGACATTTACTGAAAAAGATACAAGATACAAGAAACATTATACAAAGGACAATGATGCCTCAGTCCTCTTCAAAGTAGACACCTTGGGACCTCACACAGCTCTCCCAGTCGCCATTGGTTGCCCTGTCCTATTTTCCTGACTCTCATCAATGGTCTAAAATCTCTTCCCTTTCAAAGGGGATTTTAGTTTTGGGAAAAGCCAGAAGTTGCAGGGCACCAAATCTGGGCTGTAGGGGGTCTGAGTCACCTGGGTGGTTTGATGTTTCACTAAAAAACTGCACGAGACATGATGCATGAACTCGTGCGTTGCTGTGATGAATCTGCCAATCACCAGTTGCCCATAGCTGCGGCCTTCTGAATCATCCAAATAGATATTGTGGAAGAATGTTCAAGCTTAATGCAAAATCTGATGCAGATGTGTTGCTCTACTTGCTTAGTCATTTTCAATGCGATGGCCACACAGACACAAGCTTACTCAATGGCGTCTACTGGCCCCACTGACTAGAACAGTGAAGTTGTCATTGTTCACACATGCGCATTCCAGTCCATTCTCCTTGGCTGCCAGGTTACATCGATGTCACACAAACTGCTCTCGTTATATTAACAAAGGCTGGACTTTTTCCAGATAGACCTCATATATCCAAATGATCAATAAATATATGAACAAAGCCTTAATCTCAACAGGTATGAGAAAAATGCAAATAAAAAGCACAACAAAAGAGCACTGCACATCCAGAAAGATTGCTGCTATATTATAGGCTGGTGATACCAACTACTTGGAACAGCCAGAACTCTCCCACACCCACAGCTGGTAGAACTGTGAATTGGCACAACCACTTTGGAGAACTTTCACAGTATCTACTAAACAAAAACCCACGCCTCTCTGCTGACCCATCAATTCTATTCCTACACAGATATCTGACAAAGACATACATTTGTCAGTCAAGAGATGCACACTAGGATATTTATTATGGCATTTTTCATAACAGCCCCAATTGGAAGCAATCCACCTGTCCATCAAGAGTATGGTGGATGGATAAATTATAGAACACTAGACAGCAATAAAAATGAACTGGTGCTATTTGCACCAATAAAGATGTATCTCACAAACATAATGATGAGCAAAAGAAGCCAGACACACAGGTGTATTGTAGAGCTGTATTTATACAATATTCAAAAGTAGGCAAAAGTAGTCTATGGGATAGAAGTCAGGGCAGTCACCAAGAAAGTGGCTGATGATGTTCCATTTCTTGATTTAGGTGGTTAAAGGGGGATGCTTACTTTGGCACCAATTTCACTTAGGATTTATGCATTTCTCTGTATGCTATACTTCATTTCTTAAAGATTATAAATGTTGGGTAGTACAAGAGTTAGGTGCTTTTGTACTGACTTCCTTAAATGCCTGTCCAGAAAAAACTGAGGTCCCCTCTAACTTCTTTTGATTGTGATACTCCTGGCCACAATGGTATTTCCTTTTCTCATGGCTGACACCTATTAAAGAAAGGTGATATGATGGCTGACACTGTACAGTCAATTCCACTGCAGCCTGAGGCTTTATCATCATATAAGCCTTGGTACTGAAGACAAAGAGACTCTGAATTCCCCACTCTGAACTAGGGACCTGAGGTGATGATGTACATGGGGTGAGGTCTATAGTGGGGGAAGCTTTCTCACGTGAGCATGTTTGAAGCCAGTTCTGGCCTTGTCAACAGCTAAATCTTTACATTTAGCTGAGTCTTTTTAAACCTGCTTTAAATTTTGTTGAAGTTAAATACCTGACATATTTGAAATGAAATGACAATTATTTTCTGTTATTCTCATTTCTAAAAACTCAACTTTTCCTATTTTTAAATTATGAAAACAATTTATTTAAATCAAAGTGTCTCAATTTTACATTTAATACTGTCCTTGCAAGAAGCCTTTTTATACACCTTTTCCCTAATCACTTTCCCTAGGAAATTTTAACACCATAATTATACCATATACCCGCCTATGTAATGCACAACTGTGCTTTATTAAGTAAAAAGCGTTAAGACTCCCCTCGACCAACTCTTGTTCTCTTATGAATGAGATCATCTCCTTGAGAATGCATGACTTCAATGAATTAGTCTATTCATGCTGTCATTTTGGTTGAGATTCTACAATACACTTGGTAACCATGATGAAGAGTTCAGTGTTTAATTTAACCTTTAAAATAAGAGAAATAAATTGATCGGTTTTTCCTGTAAATCAAGAGGAAAAAGTGGGTGATGAATGGGATCACTGTGTGGATGAGAAATCTGAAGTTGAGAGGGACGACCTGACCTACCCAGACCCTTAGCCAGTGTACGGCTGGCACAACACTGGGACTACAGCCCCGTGTCTTCAGGCTCTTGCTCCTTCCACAGCACCCAAGGGCTGCATTAGAAGAAAATCCCACTGTTGTCGGCATTACAGGACTTCCACATTTAGTTTCTTGTAATGGAATTTTGGTAAAAATAAAGTATGTTAGAAAACAGCATCCCCACTTTCAGGACCTGAAGTTAAACAGAACTGGTGTTCAGTCTTTGTGTTGTGAAATAATACTGAAAAATCAGTGATCTTTCCCCTTCCTGGCTCCTGTATCTTTTTGTGTGATGTTTTCCTTGGATGGGTTGGCTTGGCCACTTTAGTGGTGGGAATGTTTGAGGAGGAGAGGGGAACTGAAGCCTTGATGGAAAGACAGAGAACTGCTCAAGTTTAGAAACCCTGCACCTCAAATGTATTTCTCCCATCCATGAAGCTGGTCCTATGTAGTCAATTTATTTCATTACAGGAAAGACTATTTCATTAACAGCACAAAAAAAATCCTTTTATGGGGTTTCAGTTGAACTGTTTCCTCATCTGGGAATGTGGTCAATAATATCAAACCTCCTGGGGTAACTGTGCGGATGATGATGGTGTTAAGTGTTGAGCACACAGTGTGGGGCACCCCAATGAGCACACAAACGGGAGCCATCACTGCTGTTACCATCACGGTGCCCAAGGAGGGCGGCACAGTGGGGATGCCTCCTTGGAACCTGGACAAAGCTGTGAAGCAGTGGCTGTGTTTGATGCTCTTCCAGCTCTCCACATTCCCGGTCCCCTGCCAATGTCAACAACTTTCTCAGGCCTGCATGTTCTTAAAATAATAATATGCTACAAGATTCTTCCCTCCTTCATCTCTGTGCTCTGATACAGATTTAAGTGCTTTACAGGAAGGTCTGAATGACTAATTGGTCTAACCTTCCTCGACATATTTGGTTCTTGAAAGAAAACAGTGAATTGATAATCATTAGCATATGAGGAGATATTTCTTTTTATTTTTAAAATATGGAATGCTTCCTGAACTGGCATATTATCCTTGCACAGGGACCATGCTAATTGTCTCTGTATTATTCCAATTTTAGTACATGTGCTGCCAAAGCAAGTACAAGATATTTCTTAAAGAGAAGTTCTGAGTGAGTCTTAATTGTTTTCCACTCCTAGAAAACAGGGGCTCCCCACAGAAGAATGCTTAGCCTACATGTACAAAACAAGTGTCTATAACTCATGTGATTATAAATCAAGGGGCTTGATTACAGAGAATAATTTTTCCTTGTATGAGATTTTTTCTTTAGAAGTATCTTTTTTTTTAAAGATTTTATTTACTTATTTTTAGAGAGAGGGGAAGGGAAGGAGAAAGAGGGAGAAAAACATCAATGTGTGGTTGCCTCTCCAGCGCCCCTTACAGGAACCTGGTCTGCAACCCAAGCATGTACCCTGACTGGGAATTGAACTGGCAACCCTTTGGTTCATACCAGTGCTCAATCCACTGACCCATACCAGCCAGGGCCCTTGTATGAGATTTGATCTTTTTCTAGAATTTTTTTTCTCAAGTTGAATGTAAATATCCCTTTCTCCTAAAAAGTGAACAAAATGAAGGACAGGGGCTTTGCATTTTTATCTGTTTCTCAGAAAAAGCACATTGAGGATTTATTACATAATTAAAGTAAGCAATAGATGTCTTGCTATGGATTGAATCTCAGAGACTGTCAGAACTCACTCCCTCTGTCCCTCCCGATTGGGCTCAAACTTTGTAAACGTGTTTTTTCTTCATGGTTGTTGGTCACAAAGACCTTTTATTCATTGTCTTTTGGAATATCCATCCTGTTCCTTCATTTCCATTATCAGTGTCCTTTTATTTTCTTGCATCTACTTTACCACACAATTTCTAACTAGTTTTCCTATTTCCACATCCCCTTCAGTACTGGGGTCAAACTATTCTTCCCCGCATGTTGATTTCACCACGTCAGTGCAGCCCTCTGAAATATCTACCACCATCAAGATGAGAGTCATCCCAACTTCACATTCCTCCAGACACTGGCTCAACTCAATTCTGTCTTCCACTTTTCTTACAAATTAATCATATTCATTATTTAACAGGCCATTTTTCTCACCATCCAATAAATAGGCATTGCACGGTGTAATGCAATCACATCATTCCCCTCTGCTTGGAGGGGCCCTTCCCAAGTTTAAGGCCCTTTCCAACATAAATATCCTGCCTTTTTCATAAAACTTTTCTTGACTACTCCAGTTTTTATGGTCATGCTTTTTAAAACAAACTAACAAGTAAAAAACTTTATACTTCTGATACTTTTTTTCTTAGCATTTAATACTAGGCAAACCTTTCCTGGATAAGTAATTTTGAAAAGTCCCTTCTAACTTGAAAAATTCAGAACCTACTTTGGAGGACAAAAACTGGAGCAGCACACAGGCTATTTTCACTATGTTGACGTCAGACCCTGTATGCGGAGCTTTGGTGACAATAAAATGAAAACAGTCATTAAGCACAAATAAATCACAACATTCAACCTTCAATAACTAATGGGTCCTCATTATAAAACCACAGTAAAATCCACTTTAGAAGCCAGCACTGCCCCCAGCCCCAGCCCCAGCCCCAGCCCCAGCCCCAGCCCCCAGCCCCCAGCCCGTACTTGAGTGGTGCAGGCAGGATGGTCTGGTAGTTGTAGTGTTGCTGCTGTTGGCTCAGGATCTGTAGCTGCAGGAACAGCTGCTGCTGCTGGAGCAGGCGGGCGTAGTTGGAGTCCAGCTGCGGCTCGCTCTTCTCACCTTTTTGGTCTGGTGGAATGTACTGGTGGTACTTCAGCTTCTTTACCCGTGGTTTAGGGTCTTTGCATTTTTTGCTACGGTGTTTGTCATTCGGATTCTTAGGATGGCTTTGCTATTTGTGAGAAAAACAAAGTAAGAACATTTTTAAAGATGTCACCACATGTAATCTATTTTACTGTGCCTCAGTGATTTGAAATGAAAAAGCAATGCAGCTTCAGAATTGGTGGAGCCACTTTGGAAGGCAAGGTACCAAACACATTTCAAGAGCTAGGAAAACATATGCATGTACCCTTGACCAAGAAATCTTGTTCCTAAGAACTTATTTCTCCTGCTGCCTTGTTCCCTAAGACTAAGGGCAAGATGCTCAGCTTAGTATTATCCATTCAAATTCAACAAACATTAGCTTTGAGTTTTCTGTGTAGACATACTGCTAAGTGCTTACATATATTATCCCTGTGAAAAATAGGTCATATATTACATATATAAGAGAAAAAATTTAAAATATAGTTTACTATAATATTTTATAATCATTAAAATCAATAAAGAATATGCAAAGCCAAAAATGCTTGTAATGAGAATAAACCAGAATAAAAACTATGTATTTCTATGGTAAATATACACATAAAAATACTGAGTAATGTGAATGAGTTTTAAAATTTTTTTCAAAAATACATTTTTATTTTGAAAATGGGGTGTGAGACTCCCATCTTATGACTAAGAATCAGATGACTTTTTTCTGAGTTTTCTTTCTCCTCCATTTATAAGTTATCAGATCACTTTCTACTTTTAGTATTCATATTATAGTTTCATCTGAATAAAAAAGTCCATCAACAAAACAACAAGGTATGGGAAATTATTCCTAAGTTTCCTTAGGTAAAATACTCAATAAGAAGACTTTGAGAGCACTACATTAAATGTGGTTATTGTGATCCTGTTATATATGTTCATATTTGAAGGAGGAAATTTAAAAAGTAAAGAAGAAAATAAAAATCACCATATTCTACAGACCAGAAATCGTCACTATTCATATCCACTTTTTACCCATAGATATCCCCAAGGCAACTCCCTCACCTCTTGTATATCTCTGCCCAGATGTCACCTGCTCACCTTGCCCAACCACTTCAAAAAACAGACGCGTTTCCCTTGCCTCCTCATAGCCCCTGTTGTCACTTTATTCTTCACCGCCGGCCCACTCTGTGTGTTGTTGTCTGTTTACCTCCTGTTCCTAAGCAAGGTGGCGGTGCTTTGGGATGTTTTTATCACTGCTTTACTGACTCCTCGTACCCAGAACAGTGCCTGGCAATAGAAGGTGCTAGATAAATATCTGCTGAATAAATTAATGATGAATGTATATGCCATTAGAAATCACTTGAATTATCAGGCACTTACAAAAATTATGATGTCAGAAAATACCCTTGCCCACTTAAAATCCTCCTGTAATCTCATAATATTAATCAATTCACTGTTGCCTGCTTATGTTGGTATCAATAATATATTTTATTTTTTGTCTTTTCAAACTGAACACACCAATGAACGGGGTCTGGGTTACAGGGGTTTGTCTCTAACTGCTGCGTACCAGTAAAACACCTGGCCCAGCTGCAGTCAGGAAGGAACCTGATGACAAAGGAGGGGACATAAACTCAAGAACCAGTATTCCTCAGACCAAATCTGCTATTACCTATTAGCTGGTAGGCAACATGCTTATTCTCTCAGGAAGTGAGGGTGGGAAATAGCTTTCCTTATAGAAAAACCCAAAGAATTGTGGTCTGTTTCCTAATATGTACTTGTCCTTTCCTCCACTAGTATAGTCCCAGGGTTCCCTCCCCAACCCCTGAACCTCACATTCTTAAGCAATGCCTCTTGCCCTAGAACCGAAGCCCTCCTTAAAGACAGACACTAGCAAATAGCAGAATTTCAAAGATTAGGAGAGGCAAAGGACAAATTCACAGTATGTGCAGGGAAAGATGGGTTAGCATTCAAACCCTTTTTGTGCCATTAGTGGTGTATGCTTGGGGATGTGGGAAGAGGAGGTATGAGCTGATTTTATTGAAACAGTTGCCACTTGCCACCCTCTGGAATTTCTGGCTCTAATACTAAGTGATGGAAGACAGTGAAATATACTACTAGATGCCCTTGAAGCCACACAGACTCGACTCGGTCACATTGATAAAGAGAGCCAGGAGTGGGAAGAGAACCTTCTCCCAGGAAGGTTCCAAGGACAGGCCCAGGGACAGATGGAGATGAGGAATGCACCAGGCTATCTGCCTCTGAAGAGGTCTGCAATGGGTTAACTGAGAAGGCAGAAAAAAAGCTGGACTGGACTTCAGGAGATTGAGGTCCTTCCTGGTCTTATCACTTTTTTACTTCTTTGGGTCTCGGTCTCCTCATCTGGAAGGTGGATAGAGGGTTAGCTCATTCTCTAACATTCTTTCTTAGTTCTGAAAGTTTGAGATTTGTGTTCGGCCTGTTTTGGCAAAAGCCACATCTGAAATGATTAAAATTATTCTGCAGTTTATCTACCACCCACACTTTCTTTAGCAGTTCTAAGTATACTTTAAAAAACCTTAAAAAGGTACTATATATTAAACATTTTGATCTGTCCTGGGACTTATTCTAACTGAATTATTTTGACCAAGTACAATGCGAGAACACTGCCACAAATCTGCAGCTTACCTAAGAACAAACCAAGCTTCATCAGGCCAAATCTGCTAAACCAAAAGAAGCATTTGCTTCTATAAAACCTTTAACCTATCGTGTAATGTATCTGGAATACCACTGTGCTAAACCTGTGTAGAAAGTCCAAAATTCATCTTACCGCTAAAGGCATCTGTTTGTGAGGTTCAGGATTCCTGTGAGCTGTGTGAAAGCACCTCCGTCTCACCCTACTTCCCTTTGTTCTGCCCTTGTGGCCTGATGGGAGCAGAACTGGACACTGCTGAGACAGTGACCCCTACAACCTTTCTCACTGCCCCAACCATTTCTACAGACCACACGTGTGCTGTTCTGCGACTATAGCACAATAGGTCACGTGTTGAAGGTGGCAGTTGTAAATTTTAGGGCCTGGTCTAGCAAGTCCTCCCATCATTTTGTTTTCAAGGCTTCAGGCTAAAAGACAGGCTGGGCAACATGGACACGTGCCTTTGTCTTTCCCAGGGGGTGACAGACAACAGTCCCAAGTAAAGACACCCAAGCTAGTGAGCATGCAGGGTACCCACCTTCACCAGTGCTGGCCCAGGCTTTGTTGAGGACACAGTGTTTATAGGGAGCACAGGAGCTGTGGACCTTGTTGGGGGCTGATCTGTAGTAGCAGGAGTTTTCAAGAATTCAGGAACTACTGGGGACACTGAAGTAAACTGGTGAAAAAGGCAGAAAGGGAATAATCTGTGACATCAATGACAGTAAAAATAGAAAAACCAGAATTATAAGGTAGTGACTTCATTTAAAAGAAAAGTCTAGTACAAAAGAAACAAAAGGAAAGTATATTGTTATAATGTGCCTAACCTCCATGAAGCCAATTATTTAGTCTTTGCCTCAACAGTATTGGAAAGCTAGGACTAGATTGACTATCTGTAGTGTTTTCTCAGAAATATGGTCAGAACTGCCCTTTTTTGGCAGAAAACAAGAACAACAATACATGGTATTCATTAGATTTTCTTGTCAAACAGGTCCACTAATCCGGGCTAATTTAAATGTCATCTTTAGCCTCTGTTACAGGGCCTGATGTGTCTCCTCCACCACACCCAGACCCATGGTCAGGCCGGGTCTGGTGAGAAGCTTCCACTCCCTGAGGTCCACTCCATGCTCGTGTCCTTAAATGTGCCTTACAGCTTACGCTCCCACCTCCAAACCCAACTAGTACTCCTTAACTCTTTCCCCTGTTCTCGCAATGAAGAAAATTTGAAGAATGTATTCTGGTAAGATTGACTTGTTTCATTGACAGTACCTTCACACTCAAAGAGCAAGACGCTAATTTGTTACCTGGGCAATTCATTATTCAATCTCAATTTGGAGTCATATATTAACAAAGGAAACTACAGAAAGCTTTTTGGGTTTTTATCAACCACCTAAAAACCTATTCCCATTAGCAATTTACGTTAAGTAGACTTTAAGTATTCATCTACTGGAAAAAGATATTACTATTACAATAAATTAGTTAAATGTTGCCTATCCATTACTACTTGGACTTACTATCATCAGCCTTATCTTAAGGAAAAACATGCTTTTATCACTTAACACTTCTCTGAACAACTCTCAAATTCATCGCACCAATCAAAATTTGTTCTCTTGTTGAAATACTTGGGTTTAAAAATAGCAAATTGTATTTTCCCTCCTTAAAATAAATGACCTGGGAAGTCAGAGGGCTATTAGCCACAACAAATATGAAGCTTGGCGCATAGTAGCTACTTAATAAATATTTGTTTAATGGGTGAATGGAAATTCCTTGTGGCTTCACTCATGCTAGGTCACACTCTCAAGCCTGCTGAGACTGTATGTGTGTGTGTAATTAATTGTGCATGGCCATGTCAGCACTCTCCCTGAGGTCTTTTCTTTTGCCATTGATTTTAGCTTTTAACTAATTATCAGTAATGTAAATGTCGACATTATAAAAGACTGGTCTTTCTAAAGATGGTTATACTCAACTTAATTTTCAAACAGAAATGAGAGAGCTTATCCAAAAGTTTTGATACCTATGTTCCAGGCTGACTTTTGCCCCTAAATGGCCCTGAGATAGCCAGCTCCTCAATGAACCTCTGACATGAAGTAAAAGATGATAGCTAGCTGATCACTGCTTTAAGGGATAGGGTTTTATGTTATTTGTTTTCCTTTCACTTTGCATAGTTTTAGGAAATAAGGATACTTATTCCTGGGCCAATTTTCACATAGGAGAAAAAACACTCCTAGGCTATTAAAAAATTGGCATATGAAGTAGAATCAGATATTTGAATTTTAAATATATATTTCTTTGCAGATAAAATCTACTAAGCTGGCAAGCTATTTTACCAGTCCAGATCTCACTGGCTCATTTGATAGTAATGATGCATCTGAGAGCAGTGTTAAAAATCTGAAAAATAACCCAGGAGCATGAATGTGGTAGTAATTGTAATATTTATAAAAATGCTTTGCCTATTATTTCTAGACCTTGCCTAATTGACTTCAGCCTTGACTACCGACATTCTCCATTGAATACCTCTTTTGGTATTTATCCAGAAAACCACACACTCCAGCATAACACCAGACTAAGTCAACTGAGAAACCAGTGATTACCTTTACCTAATTTGAAAATAAATTCTGGCTTAAAAAGGAGAACTGTTTAAACTCTGATTTAGATTGTGTCAGTCCTATTTATGTGTCTTAGAAAGGACTCTCCAAAATCTTGGATCATATCTAAATGTTAGGATCCTAGTGGCTGGAGCTACCAAAATAAATAAATAAATAAATAAATAAATAAATAAATAAATAAATAAATAAAAACCTAGATATTAATGCTTCTGAAATGATAGTATTCTAAAGAGGATTGAGAGACTATCCAAGCAATAAAAATACTATACTTAATTTGTTTGACAGTATATTGAATAATATATTAAAAATCTTAAAAGAATGCTTTAAATATGTTTAAATTGCCACTGAGACCTAAGCTCACCTTATGTATTATCAAAATTATATCTGAAAATGGTTCAGAATCTTTTCTCCAAAGAAACAAAAATGCTGCAAACTTTGCTTTGTTCTCCTGGATCTGGTCACTGTTCTCATCACAAGTTACAGGTGTCAAGATTACCAGTTCTTTAATTATCATCATGAAAGGATATGTCAGGAAAAAACTGTTTAACAGTGGATATTTATATGTTAAATACAAGAGAAAAAACAAGAGCAAATGTTTAGGCTGATTAAAGTTTTATAACATTTCAGGTCTGCACTGGTTCCTTCTGAAAGGATGATAATACTTGCCAAGGACCAATCATTGTTGTCTGGTAAGTTCCTTCATTTTCTTAAAATATATTTTATTATGTTATTATAGTTGTTTCATTTTTTCCTCCCCTATATTCCCCTCTGCACTGCATCACCCCTCTCACCATCATTCCTTCACCTTAGTTCATGTCCATGGGTTATACATATAAGTTCTTTGACTTCTACATTTCCCATACTATTCTTAACCTCCCTATTTTGTACCTACCATTTATGTTTCTTATTCCCTGTACCTTTCTCCCCATTCTCCCCCCTCCTCCTCCCCGCCTCTGATAAGCCTCCATGTGATCTCCATTTCAGTGACTCTGTTCCTGTTCTAGTTGTTTGCTTAGTTTGTTTTTGTTTTAGGTTCAGTTGTTGATAGTTGTGTTTGTTGTCCTTTTACTGTTCATAGTTTTGACCTTTTTTTTTTTAGATAAGTCCCTTTAACATTCATATAATAAGGGCTTAGTGATGATGAACTCCTTTAACTTGACCTTATCTGGGAAGCACTTTATCTGCCCTTCCATTCTAAATGATAGCTTTGAGGGATAGAGTGATCTTGGATGTGGGTCTTTGCCTTTCATGACTTTGAATATTTCTTTCCAGCCCCTTCTTGCCTGCAAGGTTTCTTTGAAGAAATCATCTGATAGTCTTATGGGAACTCCTTTGTAGGTAACTGTCTCCTTTTCTCTGGCTGCTTTTAAGATTCTCTCCTTCTCTTTAATCTTGGGTAATGTAATTATGATGTGCCTTGGTGTGTTTCTCCTTGGGTCCAACTTCTTTGGGACTCGCTGAGCTACCTGGACTTTCTGGAAGTCTGTTTCCTTTGTTAGATTGGGGAAGTTCTCCTTCATTATTTTTTCAAGTAAGTTTTCAATTTCTTGCTCTTCCTGTTCTCCTTATGGCACCCCTGTGATTTGGATGTTGGCATATTTAAAGTTGTCCTGGAGGTTCCTAAGCCTCTCCTCATTTTTTTGAATTCTTGTTTCTTTATTCTGTTCTGGTTGAATGTTTATTTCTTCCTTCTGCTTCAAATTGTTGATTTGAGTCCTGGTTTCCTTCCCATCACTGTTGGTTCTCTGTACATTTTGCTTTATTTTGCTTTTCATAGCCTTTACCTCTTCCTCTATTTTGTGACCATACTCAACCATTTCTGTGAGCATCCTGATCACCAGTGTTTTGAACTCTGCATCTGATAGGTTTGCTCTCTCTTCATCACTTAGTTCTATTTTTGGAACTTTGACCTGTTCTTTCATTGGGCCATATTTTTTTTTGTTACATAGTAAGGGGTGGCGCCTTAGGTATTCACCAGAGTAGGGCAACCCATGTGGCTGTGTTGTGGTGCAGTATGTGGAGGAGAGGTCTGAGGGGGAACAATACTGCTTGCTCTGCTTTTGGCTGGCTATCAGTCACTTCCCCCACTACCTATGAGCAAATTGGACCATTCTAGTGCTGATTCCCAGGTATGGGTTTGTGTACATTCTAGGACCACGTGGGTCTCTCCAACAAACTCTCCTGTGAGGTTGGGAGTTTCTCCTGCTGCTGCAACCCCCACATATTTTTACAGTCAGAGGTTTTTGAGGCCTTATTTCCCCACACTGGAACCCTAGGTGTGCTGTCTGTTTTGCTCCCCAGTTCTTCCTCCTGGTTTATCTGCATGTAAATGTGGGACTGCCCAGTCTGCCAGCTGCCTCCTTGATCTCCCTGGTCCTCTAGCCACTGCCTTGCTGTGAGTCCTCTCCACCTTGGCTGCCTGTCTCCACCCCTCCTACCAGTCTGGATGAGTGTTTCTTCTTTAACTCCTTGGTTGTTGGACTTCCACACAGTTTGATTTTCTGGCAGTTCTGGTTATTTGTTTGTTTTTAAATTTGTTGTTGTCCTTCTTTTGGTTGTGCGAGGAGGCAAGGTATATATACCTACACCTCTATCTTGGCCAGAAGTCCCCTGGGAAGTTCCTTTATTATTAGAATTCTTTATGCAATTTCAAGGGATAGAAACTAGGTAAATAAAAACAAGGTTTCTTTGTGTTGTTGATTTAAAATCAGTAAAAATGTGTTGTTAATTTAGAATGCAGCAGAGATCTTAATTATACTGATAGTATGCGAATAGATTCAAAATGCAACTATTTAAAAAATATTGTTTCCATATGCCAATCTCCAAATAAAATGAGCACTAGTCAATGAATGACATGAATATAAATAAAAAACATGAGCTTCAGAAAGTTAATAGATGGATGTTTTATGTAATGCTAGCTTTGTTAAAACATATCACCTAGAACTGACCACTTGTTTATGTAATATATAATTAGAAGTTTAAACACTTCATTTTCTAGAACAAGTACTTAAACATTAAAAGTGAATTAACCCATTAACACAATATCTAGTGGACAAGTAGTTGTTACTTGATT